CCCTACACGACGCTCTACCGATCTGCTAAGTGTACAGGATGGATATATACATGTGGATTAAACAAATACGATATAACATGTTGTGAGCTTTAGAGGTGCTGGCAGGCTGCTTTTTTAAACTAGAACTATAACATTTAATTGACTTTCTCACAGTAAACATCTTGCCATCATTGATGTTGTTGGTTCTACCTGTGCTTTTCCTGCTAGGTTCAAATGCCTGCCATAAAAACAGGGTAAGAGTTCAAGTTCTGACTGTATCTGTCAGTGCAGGGTGTTTACAGGAACATTGTCCTCTGACCTGGCTGTAGAAGGAAAGGTATTCCCTCGTTCATCTAACAGCGTGGCTTTTGCGGCTGTTGCCCAGCGGCAGTGTTGAGCCAGCAAAGAGTTTCTGGCTGTGGTTGGGCTGTCTGTGGCTGCTCCGTCTGCATTTTTCAGTGGAGAAAATTCATCCTCCCTCACAACCTCAAACGCAACAAAGTTCCTTCCAACGACAGATAGTGCATATTGTAATTAGCTGTAGAGACACCGTTGTATGACTTCATGTCATTTTATGTAGAGTAAAACAACGGATGTCAATAGCTGAATACACAATATAATAATCAACAATACCTTGAGAATGGAAAGACATCAAAAACAAATTTCTCCATCTTAATGCCATTTGGTTTGGTGGGTTTGACTTGATTGCCACATGTATCCACAAAGGGCACTTTCTTGAAGGCAACATGTTGTTTCAGTTGGCCTTTATATGTCCTGTAAGATGAAAAAAATAGAAGGAAATCAAAAGCATTTTTACAGTGTGTCACAACATGCAAAGGAATATTATATATAGAGTTTATCCTCTGGGGTCCCACATAATTTTTTTGTAAATTATTAAGGACGTGTTAATGAAGTGCAAGCTCTGAGGATAGTGCAACAAGGTAGGCCAGAGAGGCATCAACATAATTAAAAATCATCTGCTGGGGACCATGCATATACACCAAAACTGTAAGTCAGTCAGGCCAGTTGTAAAAGTTTAATTAACATAACAGTGGTTTTACTGGTATATGAATGGGCAATATCACACCCTCTGGCTGAATTGAGTAATCCACTTGACTACATTTTGTATATTCCCCCTTGATAACGAATTTCTGTATGGAAGTAAATAAAGTAAGCACTTAATAAACTAGCATATTATTAAGTTATCATGTATAGCTGGTGGCTCTCACCTATGGCCGTATGAAAAAATATTTTTTACATGAAAAAGATCGCGCGGCACACCAACAACCAAAAAAGTTACAAAATGACACAACGACATTTAAGCTTGCTTGGGACCATGGCACTGTTGGATAGCTTTTCCCCACACACCAAGCACAACGGAGTCGGTGCCGTCGGATCCCCGGTGAAAGTAAATCCAAACTAAAGATAACTTTCTCTGTGTTGCCTCGAGCTCACCGTTTTTTCTTTCTTTTGACCACCACTTATACTCAGCTTTTCATCTGGGTCAGATTGTTGTCCAGGGCCCAGTTCAGAGTCCGCATTTATCCTTTTTCAAATATTTCTCCATCGCTGTTCGTCTCCCGCGCATCATTTCATTCTCCTGTCTTAAATGAACACGGTCATTACTGCGATACCTACTGCCACCCACTGGCATGGAAGAGTATTTATTACTTAGCCAGATACTATATTGCAGCTCAGACGCTCAACAATGGCAAATTATTTGCAGCAACTAATTCATATTTTTTTGGACCGATTAAGTGAAATTGGACATTTTCCCACGGCACACCTGGCGATCTCTCACGGCACAGTGGTTGAAAATCACTGCTCTAGTCAGTAGTGTTTTTCTCTGAAATGAGTCTGAGTTCACTTACTGTGACTCCCATACTGTGCTGTCAGGGGGATCCTACCAACACATAAGACAGTAAAGGCTCTTACTCTGCTACATCCTGCAGGAAAGCCCTGGTAAAAAAGTGATTGCAGATGTTTCCAGCACTGTACACCAACTCCCCTTCAGGTCCTCGGAGCTCAGCTGTCTCTGGTTGGATCTCACTGTACTCCACTACCTGGGAGACGCCTCGCACCCTGCAAACCACGCCCACTGGCTCAGCAGGGTACGCCTTCTCCACCACCTGACACATGACAGAGATGAGAGGCTAGATTGAAAGTAGATTTCATTTGACCCATTTTACAAAAATACATACAATTATTTGAAAAGATGGCTTTTGTGTGCCATCCATCCATTTTCTGCCACTTATCCGGGGTTGCGGTGGCAACAGGCTAAGCAAGGTAGTCCAGATGTTTCTACCCCAGCACCGTTTTTCAGCTCTTCCTTGGGGATCCTGGGCGTCCCCAAACCAGATGACATATATAATCTCTCCATTTTGTTCCGGGTCTACCCTGAGGTCTCTTACCAGTTGGATGTACCTAGAAAACCTCCAAAGGAAGGCGCCCATAAAGCATACTATGGCACATGTACTTGCTGTGGCCGGTAGCTCCCATGAATTTCGCAACATTTTGGTCTTAATTTGTTGTCTTTTCTTTTTAATTACTGGAGCACTAATGGCATATGACAGAATACACTTATCAACATCAGAGAAGGAAGCGTGGGGATTGGATACATTTGAGGGGAGTAGACCTTGAGACGATCACCGCCCACCACCACCGGGACAGACCTGCCATACCAAACGCTACTGAAGCCAGAGTCGAGAGGGAGGAGATCTGGGATGGAAGCTATGCTAACCCAGCTAGGGCCTAAGGCTATTCCACAACCTAGTCTGCTTCTGGCTAATGTACATTTGCAAGACAATTCAGGCAAACCCAGCAACGTTACAGTCTCAATTACCCTGACCACACGTATTCACAGTGCCTAATCACAACCACACCCCTCCCTCTCTACCACAACCTCAAACTCAACCCTTTGCCTGACTCCAAACCTTATTTACCATCCCACCCAGTATGATAGGCTGGGATTATTTTTCTATTCCCTCAGCCTTACGGTCTTTTAAACCCGCAGTCCGTCGCAGCAGGAGCCTGTCCTCCTCTGCCCCCCAACACCACTTCCTTGCACATCCAGGTGTGAAGGTGTGGCAGTTAAAGCATTTTAATCAGAATTTCAATAATTACTTCTTTTTTTTTTTTTTTTTTAAAGAAGACAGGAAAATATTTTAACTCCCATTTGGTAATGGTTTATTTCAACCAATTTCTCTTTTATATATTGATTACAAATAGAGGAGGAGCAACCTCTGACAACAAACCTTCTCTTAAGGCCAGCCCCCTCAGGAAACTCAATTCAGACACTTTTTAGCTGCTTGTGTTTTTCAGTCAATACCTAAAGCTCATGACTATACATGAGGGTTTGAACGAAGATAGACGGGGAAATTGAAAGCTTTGATTTCCAAGACAGCCCATCACATCCAGACCCTTCAGTATCTCAGGGCAGATTTCATCCAGAGCTTCTTAATTACTTTATTATATGGGTGAGACTTCTCCCTCTGCTCCAGACTCTGCCTCCCCCATAGACAATATGATGGTTGGGTTCAAGAGTTCCTGAAAGTGCTATTTTTACGCTCAACAATATCCCCAGTCAGGCTCAACAGTTCCAATCCATACTTCATTGAGGTGAACTGAAAGTCATTCTCCATAGTCTACCTGAACTTCGACCACATCACCAACGGCAAAGCCATTCCGGCCTCCTAGTACTGGACTGCTGTTCAGCCAAGCAAAGCCTGAAAGGCCTCCTTCTTTAGCTCGATGGCCTCCTTCGCCACTGGTGTCCACCAGCGGGTTCTTAGGTTGCATGCCAGACAGGCAGCCCTGAACTTCTGACCATAACTCCTGGCAGCTGCCTATACAATGGAAATCCTTTCGGAGGTGGGAGTTAAAGAACTTGCAGACAGGGGGCCTCAGCCAGATGTTTCCAGTTCACCCTCGCTACACATTTGGGTCTCCCCTACCATCTGATCCAACTCACTACCAGACGGTGGTCAGTTGCCAGCTCTGCTCCTCTCTTTGCCCGAGTGTCTAAGACATATGGCTGCAGATCTGATGATAGGACCACACACTTGATCACTGATCTTTGGCTGAAGGTGTGTGGCATCAAGTACACTTATGAATCACCCTATGCTTGAACATGGTGTTTGTTACGCCAATCCATGAAGTCCAATAACAAAGCACCGCATCTATATTAAGTTACTACCGCACCACATTCCGCACTAGCTTTGGTTCCTTCCCCACCAGAGGAGATCCACATCTGTAGAACCAGTCTAAGATGCCAGGGATCAGCACGCCTTTGCCTGCCAGCTGGCTGACATTACGGTTCTCTCCATCCTCTCTTTTTCCACCGGTATCCAAACTGTTACCAAGACATTTACAGCTTCCTTTATACACATCACAGGCATGTTGCTTTTCTGTTTAAAGGAAACACATTTATATTTACATATATCATATTTATATTCCTTTGCGAGAGTGAGGTGAGAAGATTGATATGATTCTCATGTCTGTGTGTTTAGTACAGTGCTGAAACCAGAACATGGTTGACTTAGCTTAGCTTACCTAAGACTTGAAGCAGGGGGAAACAGCTAGCCTGGCTCTGTCCAAAGTTCAAAAATACATCTACCAGCACTACTAAAGCTCTCCGATTAGCACATTTGAATCTGAATACAAACAGAAATGTAAAAAGGATGCCTCCCTGCTCCAGCTTTATATTTAGTGCACAGACGTGACATCAATATTGTCATCTAGCTCTCAGAGAGAAAGTACATAAGCATGTTCCCAAAATATTGAGCTATTCATTTGATGGACTCTTTTAAAGCTACTGTATGATATTACTCTACCTTGGCTCCGCAGTCAGCCCCTTTGCTCACACAGAACCCAATAAACACAGGGTCGGCCATTTTGACCAGGATGTTGTCTACACAGTACACATGCAGGTACTCCACTCCCCTCTTCTTCATGTCCTCCAGCATCTTGTTGTCCACCAGTGCCTGGTACAGACCACCATTACCATCTGTCAGAGAGTGGAGAGGTTTTGGAACATGGCACATTACCTCAAACTATCCTCACACATCGGTGACATTAGCTGAATCCAACAGGACCTCACTGATATTTGTCTGGATGGTCAGTAGGAACTGATGTGCACCTACCTGGCGCCATGGCTATCTTCCCTTTTCCCTGCAGGATGACCTTTCCGTCAAAGGTCACTGCTGGGATCATCCTTTGCTCAAACATTACAATGTTTGACGGCTCCAGACCAAAGTAGTTGTTCTCCTTGAAGAACTTCTCAGTGGGAGCCAGAGTGAACTCACTGGTCATTATGTACCTGAAGAGTTGCAATAGACAAGAGGTTCAAATCTTTACTCTTGATCATCTTGGTCACATTATTGATCTGAAAATGTATCCAAGCTCATCCAAAACTGACACATTTTTTAAAATCATGTAACATTATTTAGAGCGGCTATAATCAATATTTCTGTACTGACAACAGAGGACTAAGTGTGTGAAAGGTGTTACTCACAGTAACAAGCTCACAAATGCTATACAGTTCCCGTCAGCTCATTGTTTGTTGTTCAGTCTCACTGCTCTCATCAACCTTGTTACCAGCAGCAGGCAGCTGTTTTCAGTAAAAACACTCTAAAAACACGCGGTATGTTTCCTGCCCAACAACGAGCTGATGAACATACAGCGTTTCTGTCCTACCGAGGCCGAGCACAGTCACTAGAAAAAAAGCTCATGTTGAAATAAAATGGTTTGAAGTTTACAGGCTGACTGGATAAACTAAGAGATGTGAAACCTGTGTTCCTTCAGCTTTCCATCTACCATTTGTTAATAATGACCTCAAAACCAATATAAATGATTTATTTACAATGTATCACACTTGAATATATGATGTGAAAATAGCTTAACCACACCAAAACGGGAATCCCATTAGAATCATAAGCAGAGATGGCAATTTCTGTTCCCTCATAAACAGACTTAAACGCTCATGTTTGAACTATTTGGTTTCATTTTTAGAAGTTTTATTTGGAATTATACAGGTCTATGCCATATTCAATTTTGTATGTTTCATCAAATGTCAACAATTCAGGTTTGACCTACACATGATCAGAGAAGTGGAGGAGGGTCCATCATATGGTCTTACCATGGAACGGTGCATTTTGAGTCATACTTTCTGTCGGCCAGCTCCTGGATTTTGTGAATGCGCTCTGCCTGGATTTGATACAAGGTTTTGCTGCTTGGTAGCCCAACATTATACATCCCTTTTGGATACTGGACACCAAGACGGGTCCCCTGACCGCCGGCCAAGAGCAGGACTCCAACTCCATTCTCTGAGATTTGCAAAAGCCCTGCATGTCAAAATAGAGAGGTAACATGAGCGGCAAGGTCTTTCAACTTTACAACTGGCATAAATAGCACACTACACCTTTTGTCAGATTGTATAAGTGAAGCTGGTATATTGCTGTGTTAAGGCTTCAGTAGAGTATCAGTTCTACAGTCACACACAGTATGACTCATGAGCAGCTAAACCAGAACGTGATGTTTCCCTTCTCACATTGTTTCTTGTAATGGTTTGTAGAGTATGAAGAGGTTCATCTCTCTAGTATTTCACAAGCAAAAGCAATGATTTAAGAAAAGTCAAGGAAAAACTTGTGGCGCAGAAATGTTCTTTCTTCTTCTTAAGTTGCGACCACCATTTTAAACATTAAACAGACAACCAATAACAGCCCTATTAAGTTTTGGGAGTGTGCAGATTCTGTTGCAGATGGTAATAAACAGTGTTTAGCTGAATTGATTGTATTAATGTTGATATTGGATTGTATTTGGATGTACCTGCCAGCTGTGGTGCATTTTGCAGCCACTGTGCCAACACTTTGGAGACATTTCTGGAGATCTTTACATCTAGTGGGAGATGCTGCCGTCATCGGCCGGATTACGAACAACAATGAGACTTCATATAGAGAGGGAATCAACAACCTTCAGAATCAACAACCTCAAACAACAACCTGCTGCTCAACGTCAGTAAAACCAAGGAGCTGATTGTTGATTTGAGAAAAAAGGAGGTGAAGACGCACACCCCTGTCTACATCAATGGAGCTGAGGTGGAGCAAGTTAACAGCTTTAAGTTCCTGACTCTGTGCTGGAACTACTGGAACATCTGAAACCAGATTCCAGACACTGCCTTTTAATTAGATTGGGGACAACTGCTTTAATCTTTAACACTGCATGGATTGCATTTCATACACTAATCATGTTTTAATGTAAAATCTTAATCTGAAAAATAACTGCTCAATAAAGATGTTGAGTAAAGGTGTCGGGCAGTAAAAGATACTATACAGTATTTCCTCTAAAATGTAAAAACCTTGGTGGAGTAGTACTCTCCTTTAGCTCATAGTGTAAGAAGAGTATCTGAGTGAAAGCCTGTGTTGCTCTGGAAGCAGAGCAGTCAGTGACTGATGGAGATCAGACAGTTTCACGGGGAGACTGCTGCAGCTATATGAACAGTGGCAATCACACCTAAAGTTGAAACATCTCTGACAGAAAACACAAGTCCATGTTGTTATTCAGCAGCCTGACCCCTACTTCCTCTTCTCTGACTTATTCCTCACAGTTACCGTAAGCCTTGTAAAACGTTCACCTTCATTTTCCCACACTGCGAGAGACTCTTTGTCACTCTTCCTCATGCTGCCGATGGACTCCGGGGGGACCGGCTCCATGTGTTGGTCCAGGCTGGCGGACGGGGAGGCCGCAGCCCTCGTAGCCCCTTCACAGTGATCCTCCAGTCCCTTTAGATCCAGCTGGGACAACTCCCGGAGGAACGCGTGTCTCTCCCCCTCACACAGCTCGGGCCAGAACTGCAGGATGTGAGACTGTCCTGCGCTCTCTAAGCTCTGCTTCACTTGCTCCAAGGAAAGCATGTTGTGTCCCGGTAAGAAAGCAAACCGTGAAGCAGGACACTCAGTCAGTAGGAAGTGACTGCAGCTCTCGGTCCCACAAGGATCGCGTGGTGGGAGTCAGACAGAACGGGATCCAGCCTGCTGAGGCCCGATGAACAGCGTCTCTGTGCTGCTTTCTGAAAACAGACTTCCTCTCAGTCAGCAGCGAGCCACGAGACCAGATGTGTGCTGACTCAGCACCTCATCAGCTGACTGCTGTACAGGAGCATGCAGACGTGCGTGTTCCAAACGTAGTGGTGTAGTAGAACCTGTAGTTCACACGGACACTTTGTGCTGGTCTCCCAGCGGCGGCTTAGAGACCAACGTTATTTGTCCGTCCCGATGAAAACAAGCTCATAGTTCGTTGTCTACCGGACTACGGTTCCAAAGAGACGTTTGTGTTTGGACAACGATTCGCTTCTGAGTTCCCGACAGCACAGAACTGTACTGTTGATAGGAACTAAAGATGGCTGGAACCAAAGAGAAGTCAATGTGAAACGTTCTGCCTCATCCACTATAACAGCAGCACCTTTTTACATTTAAAAATATATTTGTACTTTATTTACTACACTTTTACTCCAATTCCTTTCAGCTGTGGTGGAATGTAACGTATTACATTTAATCAAGTAAGTAAATTAAAGATACTTGTACTTTACTTGAGTATTTCAATTGTATGCTACTTTCTACTTTTCCTCCACTACATCTCAGAGGTACATATTGTACTTTTTCCTCCA